GAGAGAGAGAGAGAGAGAGAGAGAGAGAGAGAGAGAGATGGAGAGACTTTCCAATTATTCCGCTGCTCTTCTTTAACAATATTTTCCTCGTCTTTCCCCAAATCCCTGTTTACCTTTATCCTTTTTTAACTCTCACTCTATCTCTAGCCTTGTGTCCAATTTGTGTATCCAAATTGTCATTCTTCAACTCTTTCAGTCTTATCTTTCATTTCCCTTTGTTTCTGCCTACCCCAACAAATACACAATCCTTCTGTTTGCCTTCTGGTACTTCACTGTCTCTATCTTGTCTTATATTAAGTCTTCATTGCATGAGTGAGTCTAAGATTGTGTGCCTGCTGCTAGAAAACTGTGCACAATGCAGACTATATCTTTATATCATAGTGTATTATGTACAACATTGTGACAACACCCTCTTCAGAGCCATTTTTATTTATTTTTTTAATAAATTTATATGGCCACTCACCTCATATATATGACTCTGGGTGACTAATAAATAAAACAGTAAAACAATAAAAACAAAATTAAACAAACAAAAAACAGAAATAGCATAAAATAGCAGTTGAGAACACTCATAAACACTCAAACTAACTACAAAATGGGCTCACCCATACTATCAGAGCCCCAGGCTTGATGGTAAAGCCAGGTTTCTGATGCCTTATGAAAGGCTAGCAATTTATGCAAATTCTTGTACAAGTAGCCATAAAACATCATCCCATTCTGCCAAAACAAAACCAAACCAGGAACAGCTGTAGACATTTTGATGTTTTCACATTATAGCATATTGCTGAATCTTTTATCAAATTGAATTACAAATTCTGAATTGATTAAATGGAAGCTCCTTGCCTTGGAAACTCAAATCTGAATCAAATCTTGCCATCTCTGAATTATTAACTGAACTGTGATTCACACACACCCATGCCTATGTCAAAAGCAAAACTAAAGCCACTGAGCTATATCTATGTAATCATTTTATTCAACCAGTTGTATAAATATGTTACACCAAGAGAAAGCCATATGTATTACTCCCCCCACTCCTTTTTTATATTAGCAGATTTTCTTCTGTTTCATCTTTGCCATGAAATTGCATCTATCCTTGCCAAATGCCACAACAAACCCCATAGCCAGTTACAAGAACTTTACATACAGGATAAAGCATTAGTAAGGCAGTAGTTATCAGTCATAGTGTGAAACAAAACAAGCTGTGCTGATGAAGAATGTTTGGAGGGAGAGAACTGTGCAGCTTCATTTCAGAACAAAGTAATTGTTTTGTACAGCTGCATTTTACCCTTCTCTCCATTGACTTCAAACACTTGGGAGCTTTTTTGGAGCCCATATGCTAGGCAAGTCTCCACACCCTAACTTATTCCTATCTTTTATAGCATGACAAAGTATTCAGAATGATATTAGAGTGGAATGGATGAGCGAGATGGGTGATATAAAAATGATTTCAACCCGCATGTAATAAACCTTTAGTACTTACAGCTGTCCTCTTCTTCGGTGATACATTTCACAACATAACAGGCGTAGATGAATCCTGCCAGCTTAAACAAAATGGGACAATATTAGATGTGCAGTCAAAGTGGTTATCAGGCTTGGAAGTGGGGCGTGCCTACAAGACAAAAGCTATCTTCCCCCCATTTTGTTAGGAAAATGGCAAATATTTAAAACAATTACATATTTCTAGCAATAATAATCTGCACAGGACAGGACAACCCGTAATGGCGTCAGGATCTACTGCAATGCTGGGTTTGTGAATTTTGAAAATGTTGATTTTCCTTAATTTACCAATGTATTCTTGTCACTCAGGAATAAATATAAATTGGTGCATAAGAATGCCTCCTGCTGTTTCCCTGAAGGCTTGCCACACAAGCAAAGGTCAATAGTATGCTTCTTACAACACTCCTACAAGCTGAAAGATAGCCACTCAGATCTAAGGAAAAGGATGGACAAAACACTTTTCTGTAGGGCAATCTGTTCCCTCTTGCTCTAACCATCCATTCAGATGTGCATTCCAGATGAGGAGAAAAAGAAGATGCCTTTAAAGAGACGCCTCTGTTTATAAATACAACAAAAAGCTAGCAAAATAAGAAGTGAGACAGATGCTTTCCAGATTACTAGCCTCCCATTCCACTAGCATTCATAGACCACTCTTAAACAAGCCTATAGGTCCTCTTTACCTTAAGAGAAATCTATATCATATTCACGGTGCTACCCTTGTGAGCACAGCTCTTTTTTACGCTAGAACTTGCAGAGAGTAGCAGCATTCTCTATTGTTGCTTCCAAGGTAGCTGTTAACAGAGCTGTTCAACCCCAGCACTTCCAAGGCCACGAACATGGACCCCCTTGGCAAAAGAACTCCGACTAGTGGGGTCCAGAAGGCGGGCCTTCTCTGCGGTAGCCCCTGCCCTTTGGAACATCTTGTCCGTGGAGGTGAGACAGGCCCCCTCACTCCCGGCCTTTTGGAGGGACTTGAAGACCTGGCTCTGCCATCTGGCCTGGGGCAGGGAGGGAGGTCATCAAATGTGGGGTTGGCTAGCCACCTAGAGGCCTGGTGTTGCTTCCATCAGCCTCCTGGATTTTTTCCCTATTATTTTTGTAAACGTGTCCTGTTATAAATTTTAATTGTAT